GGTAGTACTTATTCATGGAGGCATTGGCGGCAGCCAAGTTTAGCAGGTAATCATTTCGGGCTTTGCTGCACTTCAGGTAGATTTCTTGGACCTTACATTGCCTCTGTGGCACATAAAACAATCAATTATAAGAGGTGAAATAGACACACATGTATGCACATAATACTACATTAAAAAAAGGATAATTATTTACTTTTTCTATTAACCGCTCGAGTTTCTTAGCAGCACTCTGTTTCTGCTTTTCTTCCTGTCTCTCTGCCTCCTTAAGTTTCCCCTCTGCACACACGTACTCTGAGTGGTACTGGTAGTATGTCCGCCATGCCTGCACACAGACACACATAGCCATGCTTTCCTTTGTTTGTATAGGAAACGGAAAATGTTTTGGGTGGTTGGTTTCTCACTTACAGTCTGCAGCTCTGTGGTAACCTTGAGTAGCCCATCTTGCAGCTGAGTGCAGATGTCTTTACTCTAGAAAGACAAAATACCACAGTGAGATGGCACAACACTTAAAGAACACAGTGCACCACAAAATATGTTTTTTAATGTCAAGAGTTCAGAGGGAAGACAAGAGTACGAGCCAGAAAAGGAAAGTGGCAGCATTGCTACAGTCAGGTAAATTGTACTATACAGACTGCAGACTTGTCTCAAATGCGCAATGAATGACTATGCTTGTGTTACCTTCTTGGCAAGGCGTTGTGTGTACTCCAGGCAGTGTGTGAGGGGCTGGATGAGAAGGTTGCTGCAGCTTTCACTCAGTCTATTGTGGTCCCTACTTTCTTGGCGGGTCTGGGACAGCAGAGCCAGCCAGACCTGGGCCACTGAGTTACCACTGGGCTCCTTCCTGAGCATTGGTCAGGGTGGAAAGGAAGACACAGACACAAAAAAAAACAAACTCTGTAAGATACGCTCGGGACTATTTCACAACAGTGGCCTCAAATGAACTGCTGGTTAGTTATTATGTGCACCTTCAAAGAGAGGATTGCTTTTACCTCTTGATCCTGGAAGTGAACCGTTCAGAGAGTTTTTCAAGGGAACGAGCATATTCGCTTTCAATCTCACTCCGTCGTCTAAGGTAGTCTGTCAGGTCCTGCAGCTGCTGGCTCTTTTGCTCAAGTTGCAAGTCCAACACCTTCAGCTGGTCTACAAGCTGGCATCGCACCTCTGGAAAGAAAGAAAAAAAAAAAAAAAAAAAAAAAAAAAAAAAAAAAAAAAAAAAAAAAAAAAAAAAAAAAAAAAAAAAAAAAAAAAAAAAAAAAAAAAAGAAAGAAAGAAAGAAAGAAAGAAAGAAAGAAAGAAAGAAAGAAAGAAAGAAAGAAAGAAAGAAAGAAGGGGAGTGAGAAACACATAAGAGAATATGACTCATTCTGAAAGTCTTGCTGTAGGTGAGAAACTTTTTTTTTGCACTAAGAGAACACATGTTGATCACAGTTGAGGTGGGCTGTGATAAGAGATAGGTTATTAGAGTGATGCTAATAAAAAGTTATATTATTTTACCTTTGATTTGTGTGTCGTAGTCCACCATACCAACCCTCTCCTTCCGGAGTTTTACATGGGAAGTCATTGTTGCTCCAACTGGGTGGAATTCTGGATAAAGGAAGTGAATATTTTATTATCTCACCACGTAGTATAAAATATCAACTACGCTGTGTCTTTTGACCCCCCTTACAGAAAGAGTCTTTATACGCATGCAAGATATTATGATCTTAATTGCTGGACAAAGTCTGGTAAAAATCAAGGCCTGTGATCCATGCTGTACCCAAGCATGCCTCTCTCTACAAACTTTAACACTCTTTGTGCTACAACACCCCCCCCCTCCCCTCCCTCCACAGACTATGCTAACTTCCTCCTGCCACAGAAAGAGCAAAAAGAGCATGTTCATCTTACTGTAACACATCTCTTCAGACTGGTCACCCTCTGCTGAATGGCAGACAACCAGAAAACCAGTTGGCATGTGCGCTGCCTGCTGCACCGATCACGCTGCAGAATTGCACGAGGTGCAAAAATAGCTCTAGCTACAACTCAGCTGACCTAAAAATAGGGTGTCACACAGAGCCTACAACTCTGTGGGGAGGTTTGTTCTCAAGACTACAGGTGGTTTTACCATACACTCAAGTTTACTGATGCCCTCATAGTATATTCTGTATACAGCTGCTTTTTGCTTAGTATTTCTAGATATTCTGGACTGGATTACTGAGAACCTTTACAGAAAGTATAATCCAGTTTAGATTTAAGTGTGTCTGAAACTGAAAACACTGGTTTTGGTTTCTTGTCATTTGTATTATGTTTTATGACAGAAACTCAGACCCAATATAATATACTGGCCTGTTCTCATCAGAATATAGATGAAATGGTGCGGGGGGGGTGTAAGACAGTAGCATGTCATTGCAGGATCGTCATTTAAACATCATCTGACGTGCCTTAGACAAATAAAGAATTGTCTACAAGATATCATGTATTACGACGACATTTAGTGCACATCAGAAAGGGGAAGAGTGGGGTGTTTTCTTGCTGGATCATAACCCTTTGTACACAATCAGCACACACATTCTCTCTTTCCCCTCGCAACTTCCCTTTTTTACAGAGGCCAAACATCACTCATCAGCATTCTCTTCAGCTGAGACATTTACCAACTGACCTGATAAAAATGAGTCTGCTGCATTACAGCAAACCCAAAACTCTGTTATAAAGGAGAGTATCTAATTTTTCCAGCGTATGTCACCCTTTTCCATGAGCCCTTTCATTCTTTCTCTGTGTGCTCAGCAGTGAATCATCACCTTCTGTCGTCACAACGTGCTGTAATATTTCATTAAAGCTGGTCTTAACCTAAACTTACTGGCTTTTCAGTTGCTTTCATGATAATACTGCATTTCACTCTGGGTTTTGACAAGTACAAACACATATACGCTGTCTGAGCTATGAAACATTAATGACCTGAGGGATATGTCTGAAGCCAACAATAACATAACTGACACAATCAAGCAGAACTATCCTTCATGACAGCACTTACTTAGCTGTACAAAAACATGTTTAGAAGACCTAAAATGGCAAACGGTCTCAGACAGGTCAGGTCAGCATATGAAAATCAAGAAAAGTTTAATACATCAAAAAAAAAAAGGGAGTCCTACCTGATGAGGAGCAGTCCTGACTAGTCTCTTCTCCAGACTGAGGCAACTAAATAATGCCAGTTAATAGCACAGTAAGCTCTCAACTGTTTCACCTCCCCCTCGCATTGGACACGGATGGATGTGGGTGGAGTGGAACTCATCTCTCTCTCTCTTCTCTCTCTCTCTCTCTCTCCCCTCTCTCTCTCTCTCTCTCTCTCTCTCTCTCTCTCTCTCTCTCTCTCTCTCTCTAACACACACACTAACACTCCCCTACTGCTCTCTTTCTCACCCGTCATCTCACTCACACATTCAGTTTGAGGCATCAGTGTGCAACTGTGCAAGTGAGAGGAATGAAAACCTTTTCGAGCTCTCTTTCATGCTACCTCTTGAACTCCACACAAGGTTTTCAGTCCAATCAAACACCAGCTGTTTCCACTGATTAGTCCCTCTGCACTGGTTATTCACAGGCTACTGAGTGAAATCAGCTGCTATACTATGGAAAAAACACCCCGAATACTCTGGGGTATACTTGGCACAACACTGACGGCCACTATAATCCACACTTTGCTTACATGCTGTATTAGCAGAGTTCATTATGAGTAATGCATGGCTAGTAACCTTGGAAACAGTTCATTTGAACAAAAAAAAGCTTCTATTAGGTAATAACTTTATTTATTTATCTGAGCCTGTTCACTGTTGAAGAACTGCAGCATTGTTGTTTTCTCTCGCCTCTAGCTGAAAAGCGCTAAAAGGCATGAAGGTGTGAAACTGAGTTATTTGTGACAGACAAACTTTCTGAAAGGGCAGTGTGCACAATTTGCCAATATATAGCACGTTCTTGTCTAGAAACTGAAACAATATTTTTTCCAAAAGGACAAAAAGACACTGTTGATCAATGTTAGTCTCTGAGTACTGTATAACTCATGGTTGGATGACTTTTCAGTTTAAAGCAGTGCTGACTTTGGAACCTGGACATAACAAATATCACCAGCATCTTTCAGCTTGTGAACAGGGAGGATTTAACTATAGAAGTCAAACATTGTTTTGAATGCAGTGTCCTTCAATGACTTGACTTTATGTAGAGTAGCATGCTTTTTACTTATCTTAAATCTATATATATATATATATATATATATATATATATAACCTATATGCAGTACTCCAAAATACTCCAATACAAGCAAAAATCCTGCATTCAAACCCTTCTTAAAAAAGTATTTAAGTATTAGCAGAAAGATTTTGCTTAAAAACATGAAAAGTGGAAGTACTCATTCTGCAGACAATGGTCTCTGTGTTTTACTATTATATATGGTTTTCTATTAATATCACTGCTGCATTTTACTGCTGTAAATGTTTGATGTTGTGCTAATTTTAATAGTTTGATCTACAACAATGCATCATATTCTATGAAATCATCTCGCTTGTAGTGTCACTGCCCTGTGAGAACCATGTATCATTAAAAGGTCATCTTTTCATGAGCTCAAACAGCTTTGTGATGACACGTTTTCCAGAAAATCAAAGGAGTAGGAGGATCATAAGGAGTAAAAGAACATCTCATTTTTCAGTTTCATAAAATATCATATTTCATAATCACCTAATTTGGAGATCGATGGTTTTACTGGACAGAAGGGATATGAACAATTACAATGTAAAGTAATCAGTAACTAAAGCTGTCAGCCACTAGGAGTTGCCAAAGTGGGAAATGGTCAGATCATGGACACACTAAGGGTTTTTCATTATCGATGGGAACCTTTATCATGGATCAAGTTGTGATCACGGTTGTGTACAACAGAGGTATTTGTGATGGTGTGAATCCAACAATTTAGTGTTGTTTTAACTTTACCTCCTTGCTAAACAACATATGATCACTTACTGAAATAAGTGCGATACCAACAGTATTATTTGAAAGATTTATTTGCAGTAATTCTGTTAAATAATGAAGAGACCAATTTGAAACAACTTTTCAATTCTGTATATCTCACAGAACTTTGTGTCACTTTTAGTAATGACAAAAGCAATCCAATTAAAACAGTTTTCCTGATTCATGTCGTTATCCAAGACTTTTTGTTCATCACTGCGGTGAAAAGCAAGATTCAAGAAAAACCAGTGACGGAAATGTTGGAACGGCTTTGATGTACAGATAGTCACAGTTTGTGAAGTCAGAGATATTGTCAATAGAGATAAAAAGTGGAAGTGGGGGATGAATTTAAAAATGTCTAGGATTACAATGTCATTGTGAATCAGAAGAAGAATCTTTAACGTCTGTGCTTTCCGTTGCCTCGCTGACTTCACTCAGCTCTTTGCTCTCTCCTCCACTGTCTCTCTCGCTTTCTCTCTCCTGGTCACCAGACCCGGACGGGCTCTGGCCCGACGGTGCCTCCTGACCCGACACGCGCACCCCAGGCTTTCTTAGCTGTGGGACACAGACAAAAATACAAACCCATTTACAACCAGAATCTGCTCATTTCACATTCTCCGTTCACATACCCCCAGAGGTAGTGAATCGTATCTATGTTGCTATAGTGGATACATATAGAGAATTAAACCACCTCATCAGCCATGTGAGCCAGGTCTCTCTTCATGGCATAGGCATCTTCCCCATCTGCGTAGTATTTAGGCTCTACTTCACTAATCCTGTGGAGGAACAACAATATAACACATCAGTTGCAGTCAGAACAAATATCTAAAAGTCAGGCACGTGGCTGCCATTGAGGACACTGAGGTCTTATGCTTTCTATCCTTATAATTTCAAGGGCTTAGCAAACTATGAGGAGTTTACATTCTATATAAAAAGAGTTTTCTGTGCAGCTTTTCCCAACCAGAATGTTTTTCTGACATTCAAACAATATATTTCAATAATTAACTTAAATAAATAAAAAAAAACATAGTCCAAAACATTGTGTGTTTTGGTGTCTGGAGCTCAATCAGGCTTGTGGAGTAACAGATTACATAATCGAGATACAAAAAAACGGTAACAAATGCGTGACAATAACCAGATTATGGTGACATTTAGTTAAAATGAAGATTATCCACCATGCACACTGCAGTGTGCACACATTACAACACTTCAGGACTCTTACAACACCACTACACCACAGTGGTCTCAAGTGAAACCATAGCTAATCTTAAAGTTGCCAATTCATTGTCATGGCCTCTAGTGAAAAAAAAGGCTTTCACTGAGTTGAAGTGTCGCCATTAGTTTGTGTTTACAGCAGAAAAGGGTAAAGTGGTAGCCTTCAAGCTATGTAAATGGTCTTTAGTTTACTGGATTTTGTTTGGTTTTTTAAATACACTGCGTAGAGAACATGTTTGATGCCAATATTGGTTTCACCATTGTTTTGTTGTCTTATAGAATATGTAAAAGTCATCTAATTGTTGTCTTTATTACCAATTCTGATCCCTGAGCTTTTTGTATAGAGTAATATCGAATAACAATCTGCGTTATAAAATAAATATATGTGCATGAATGTATTACTGTTTTTTAACAAGTGTATTCTACTAAACCTGTATGACTGCTATCAATGACGTATGGCCTCAGGTTAAAGCCCTTGTCAGAGTCACAGTAGGGCGGTTCATGACTTTCCTATCCTGGAAAAAATGGCAAATTTCTAGGCTAAAAAGTTACATGGTATTGGATTAATGTGCATTCACTGCCAAACACTTGTAGCTTAACTGCTTTTTCTGAACTCAAAGATATCTTTGACGGACATATACCAAAAAAAACACTAACACCAATATATCTGCAGTAAGCTAATAATGCCAACTTATTCAACACCCCTCATGTCCTCAATATTTATGAAAATCTGAGCTATGATCAGGCCAACTGTGTAACAATACCTCAGGAGTTCATGCATTTCAATAAAATTACTGAAATAATGTTGGCACAGAAACAGACTTACTGGAATTTGAGTGTGTTTGAGTACAGGTGCAGGGCTGCTCGGTTGCTGCAGTGGGGAGAAAAGATTGGTAAGTAGATGGTACACACAGTCAGAGCCTGATTACATTTTGCAAAATGGAAACCGTACAATAATTTATCTGAACAAAACAAAGAGTTAACAAGCTCACAGCGAGCTCTAAGAGCACGGTACCTCTTGCGAACATGAAGCGAAACATATTTAGCATTGAAGTTTTCTATCATGGCCCGGCTGGCCTGGTCCATCAGCTTCTGAGCCAGGCCCAGACGTCTGTGGGAGCGCTTCACTGCCTGGAAGACACAGAAAAGGGTTTTTATGTTTATGTTTATGTTTAATGATGCCAGCCAAATACCTCAGTGACATAAAACATGTAATATAAACAATGGAGGAGATGGATGATGTTTCTCATTCAGACTCACCAGGGATGTGATGTGTCCATGGGGTACATCATCTGGGTCCTCCTCCCTAATAAACGTTCACAACAGTTAATTGAAACACATTATATATCCCCTTTGTTCCAAGTGATGTGATGGGAAATAAATGGTCACAGATACTCACATCTTTGCCAGCACATATCCCACAATTTTGCCATTTTCGTCCTCTGCAATGTATGAGAGCTGAAACGACGAAAGCGAATAGTGTCACACAAACACAGGAACACACTGTAAATGATGGGAGCAGTGGTGTTAGCAGGAAACAGGAGAAAGTGTACTGTAGCTCACCTGAGGCCAGGACAATCCGTGGTAGAAATAATATTTCATCTGATAGTTTTCTGGCAGACACAGCAGGTTACAGTGCTGCATGTTCATAAGGTCCTCGGGCTGAAAGAAAGAAAGTGGACGTCAGAAAGCTGCAGGACACGATGCTAACCCCTTAATCGGAAATGTCTGGTGAGCTATCGAGTAGGCTGCAGTAACTAGCTTAGCTACAAGTTAGAAAGAAACAGCATGGCTGTCGAGAGATTTCCAGCACACTTACTCTGGCGTTTCGTATGTTCATTTTGGTAGTTGGCTTGTTATCCGGACTGTAGAAACTCAAATCAAATGTACTACACCGATCAATCAATTCATAATAATTACACTGTAAGGTTTAAAGAGCTTGTCTCGATAGCTAGCTAAGTCGAGTCGCTAGCAAGGAAGGGAGGGGAGGAAGGAGCGTGCCACAATAACGACCGGTATTTCCGGCCACAGTGCGCGCTGGCATTTCACAGTAAAAGTTGTAACTCTTGTATGAGTTGCGATAACATAGCATAAACTACTTTTATTTTGAAGGATGCTTTTACCTTGATAAGAACGCGGATGTTGAGTTGTGGACCATATTGTCGCAGACTTTATAAACCTACAGCAAGGATCAGGCTGTAGGTAAAAGTACAATATCAACTGCCTTATTGCCTGACCTTGTGGTCCTATGGGGGGCTTCTGTTTAAATATAGCTAGTTATAAGTCCATAATTCATTATTTCAGTTTTGGCAGTATTGTGCTCACATGATCCCTATTCCTAAATTAACTTGTATTTAATCAAAATACCACTAATTCTACAACAACCAAACCTGCATGAGGCTTGTCAGTGTTTTGCCAGAGTACTGGTCTCTGAGCTTATAATGAAGCTGCCATGCTTTCTCTGAGTTGCACTCTTAGATTTTCATGATCTATCAATTAATTGGTCTTCCTTGACTAGGCGAGCAATTGATTCTCAGTTCGTGTCAGTAGATTTGTCCTACCACAGCCTGAGGAAAAAAAACTTCCACATCCATAATTCCAAATTAAATTGGTTCAACCTATTCGAACTATGAACGACTACTAAAAGCCACTAAAAATGTAACATGTCGTCCTCATGTGTTAACAGTCCTCTTCCACGGAGACGGCCACATTTCTACTCTAACCCAGAATGGACAAACCAAACACTGGCTCTAGAAGGGACCTTTCACGGTGAGGCGAGGGGGTTACAATCTGCAACTACACTGCTAGATGCCGCTAAATCCTACACACTGGTACTTTAAGTAAAAGTACATATGTATTAGAATGTTAGTATTCACATAAAAGTATTATTATTAAAATGGAATAGATATCTGAAATGTGATCCGGATGACAGACTGCACATGTTCATATAAACATCTCCTTATATTTATGGCAAGTGTATAAATATTAACAGGAACTGAGAAAATGTTAAATGATGCAGTTGTTCGGAGGAGATGGCTGAGTGGTCTGTGATGGTTGATCTCACTACTTGATGCCATCAGCAACTATTTCTGTGGGTGTCTCTTCAACAGCTGAAGTGGTGGACATATTTGAGGTCATTATGAGCAAGCCACATGCAATTACAGCCTATTACATGAAGGGCTGTAAGAAAATGTCAATACACTTAAGTATTGCAATATTTTGCTTTTTGATATTGTATTGATTCTCAACAACACTGTATCTGTTTATGTGTTTAAACCACTAAACGTTGGTTGCAGTGTTGTAAACTGTTGGATGTTACATGGACCGTGATAAATGTATATCTCCCTCCTCTGGTTGCATAAAAAATAAAAACTTTTATACTCAGCTTTTATGCATAAGGTTGTATGATCTTTTATAATATTAAAAAAATTGTAACTGCAGTATATCACCCTGCTTAAAGTATCCCAATATATCATAATATACTGAATCGTAACCCCTCTATCATGATAAGTAGCATATCACCATATTTGTTTCATGGAAACTTGTGCAAATCAATATGCTTTGTTTACAACTTGATAGTATCGCTAGCTTGCTAACACTTAAAACATAGAGCAGTGGTTCTCAAGCTAGGGGTCTGGGGACCCCTGGGGATCCTTTAGGGGTTACAGGGGTGACACCAGACAAGGTTGAGAAGCACTGACATAGAGGTTTATTAAACAAATAACCTTTAATTACGTTGTCCTCATAATTTGACTCTCTTGCCCCGGTGCTTTTTATGCAGTGTCAGCCAGAAAAGACACATATAAAACATATTATATAAATGGACTTCCTCAGTTAACTTCTGCTTGAGATAGTCACGGCACGTCACGTTCAAGAAGCTGCTGGAAATGATTTGGAGGAAATGCCAAGAAGACCATCTACATGTTATACTTTTGTAACATTTCATGGCTTTGGTGAAATCTATACAGGGTTTTCTGATGGGTTATGCTGACAGATGTTTTTCCCCCTCAGTTTATTTTGTTGTTCCTGTTCCTGTTCCTATGTCATTTGAATACATCTTTAGGTTTTATAATGATGAAAATAACAGATCATGTGCAGTACAACAGGGAAATGTAAAAGTGTAGCCCAATACAACACAATATATATGTATAACTAACCACATACTAGTTTATGTCTATTTTGTAGAGCTTCTTTATTTATGCTTATTCTGTGTATGTACATTGAGAGCAATGTAAAACTGCAGTTAAATTACTTGAATGTGTGCACATACCATGCCAATAGTATAAGTATAGTATAGTCATTCTGATTCTGATAAGAATAGGTTATTAATTTACTCTGGTTATTATTCATTTTCCTCTACAGACTTGTATTTGGTTTCATAGTGAGCTTGTAATTTGAAAGTGCTCACTTTACCTATCCCTATTTATCACCTATTAGTCATACTGTAGGCTATATTTAAAAATGTACTGTGACAACCCTTCTTTCTATCACCACAGCCAGCTATAATAATTGGCCAATGTGCTAATACTTCAGGTAAAAGTACTGGCATCCAATCAGCAGTCTAACATGCAAATGTAGCAGGTGTCGCCAGGGAGGGACTGTAGAGGAAACAGATATTTTTTGACTAACACCCTCTGTTCCAGGCGGTGTCTTAACATTTCACAGGAATAATGCCCTAAATAAAGATCTTCAGGTTCATTCAGAGGAAGATGAAAACTTTCACATGTGAGATAAGAGCTCTGGTGGGTTGTTGACTGATGGCGAGATCAGATTCCCGCTCTGCTGCTATTTCTCAGAGATGTGACAGTTATGAGTGTAAAATGTGATTATTTGAGTTTTGTGAGGAACGGCAAAGAGCGACGCTGTGGCTGAAGCGCTTTTCCAGATGGAGACAGACCTGAAGCTGGAGTCAAGTTTGTGGGTCGGGAATAAAAGATACCGGGCGGTTCTGACGGGCTGGCATTTCAACTGGACCGAGGTAGATAAGAAGAATCGTGACAACCAGACAAGTAGGTGGCCCTTAACTAATCATCTCTCGATCTGTAGCCTGATAGCGATAAATATACTTTCTCGTTGTCACAATGTTGCTGTTTGCCACTTGTTTAAAAGCCACAACTTATTTCTTATCTTCGGTGAACTGACATTAATAGGACTGATGACAAACGAGCAGTATTCATTCTCTAGGAAACAACATAAACAAAACAATGTTTAGTACACCTTATATGTGATATTGGACTACTACAGGAAGGGAGCGCACGTGAAACGTGAAGAACAAGTTAAACAGCACTAACATGAAACACAACCTGAGACAGTGTGCTGAAAACAGGCTATGCAGTCCTCGCACACCTTCAGGCACAAGGTTATAATAAAGGATTCATTCCTTTAGCTATGGAACTGTTTTTTTCAACACACACACACACACACACACACACACACACACACACACACAGAGAGAGAGAGAGAGAGAGGATGAGGGAGGGATTTGCATGTGAACATGGAAAGTGTTTGCTTAACAACATCATGACGATACATTTTTAACACAGTTGTCAATTCAGTTTCATTTATATAGCACAATCAGAATCAGAATCAGAATCAGAATCAAAATCGGTTTTATTGCCCAGTAGGCTTTCACATACAAGGAATTTGCTTTGGTATATCAGTGTATAACAATAAACACTGTATGAGAAAATTATACAAAAAGTAGAGAGAATAAAAATAGACAATGTGACTGTATTTAAATAAATTAGCGAAGAGCTGTACAGTCCCAGGACATATGCAAGTTTGCAAAATCACAAGTCAAAAATGTTGTACTCTAAAAAAAAAAAACTCCTAAAAAAAACATTTTAAGACACCTCAGTAAGAGCAGCGAGCTCTAGCAGCGAACCTTAACGATGGCTCTGTGTCCCAGTAAGCCATGACCAGTGAGCCAGTGTGAACAATACCAGGACCCTGAACCTGAAGCAGCTAAATGGATCAGTAACACCTGTGCTTTTTCTGCTGTGACCTGTCAAATAAGCCCTAAAACAGAGCTCTGGCATTAGAACAACTAAATGGGATGCAGCCATTATTCATTTTATTAAATTACATCTGTGCTTTAACAGCTTTAAAATATTCCATTCATTGTATGCATGGAAGCGTGTCCACTGATGTTTGCACTGTGTGTGTTTGTCTGTGTGATTAAAGTTTCAGTGCCGGTGGCAGAGGTGGTTGGAGTGGAGGAGGGTCGGGTGGAGATCCTACCCCAGAAGTCAGTTGAGGACACAGACAAAGACTTCACGGGTGGGTGCTCTCACTCTCTAAGATATCACAAACCCACGGCCACAGTCAACGCTTAAGTAAATAGTAATAACACAGACTGAGGCCGTGCACATCTTGTGCCGTTGAGTTTCAAATGAGATTGTGAATAATTTGCATACAGGTAGGCCTACACGATACGCTCGCTTTACAATTCAGTCAAATAAGTGCCTGTAAACCCCTACGGTCTAACAGCTTATATTGTAGAATTACAGCATTGTTTTGACTTCTTCATCTGTCATCCACCTCCAGTTTTTTACATAAAGCGCAGCAGCAGTGGGGGCTCTTATGGGTTACTATGGAGACTGGGCCGGACCCAGTTCAGCTGCCCCAGCCGGGTCCTCAGAGACCAGTGGACGAAACACCTAAGAACTGCTCTCAAAACCCACAGTATGGATAGATAATTATATAAATGAATTAGACAAAGCTGATATTATGACTCCTATGTCTATGATTTTACTAATAATGATTAATTATGTTCAAATCCCCTGAGAGTTCGCTGGCTCTTCGTTAATATTCCAAATGTATCTTTCAGGTCCGTTGCGTCCCCACAGGCTGTTGGTGTTTATAAACCCATTTGGAGGGAAAAAGAAAGGAAGAAAGATCTACCATTCTCTGGTTGCCCCACTGTTTGAGCTGGCTGGTATCAGCTCTCATGTAATAGGTAACGACAAAATGGTGTTATACTGGTTTTATTTTGTTTAGAGAGAAG